CGACTACGCTGGGCTCATGACTTACCTGCACCACAGGTGGGTGCAATGCAGTGAAGCGCGGTTCAACGAGATGGGGCAAGATGCATCACGGAGCAGTTCCATTAGACAGGTAGATGGGACCAGCACGTTACATCTATGCCAGGCTCTTGACGTACCTGCACCACAGGTGAGTGCAGTGTGGTGAAGCGTGTAGTGAGCCGCAATGTGGTTAATTAGGTTGTAATGAGGTGGGTGACTGTGCAGTAAGCAGATCCTTTTTCTATGCATATCCTCCCTTTCCCCATCTCACCCACCAGCCATCAGATCGTACGATGCTGGGTTGTCCAACTTCCAGCCATCAGACCATACCATCTGATTTCTCAATAACCGCGCTGTCTACCTCACCTCGTCCCACCCGCTCTGCCCACCTGCCTGCCCTCCCACCATCAGATCGTACGATGCTGAGGTGTCATACTTTGATGTGCACTCATCTGCCTGTCCTCTCTCTGCTTATCCCACCCCTTGCTTTACTCATCCCACTTGTACTTTTCCCTGCCCACCCCCCATCAATTCCTACGGTGCTGAGTGTCCTACTTTGACGTGCAATCATCTGCTGGGTCTTCTCCTTGACACCACCCCCCACCCCTTCCTCTGTGTATCTTACACCACCCTCTCTCTATTCCATCCCACTCACCCGTCATCAGGTCCTACGATCCTGAGTGTCCTACTTTGACGTGCACTCACCTGGTGGGCCAGTCCCCATGGCGCCCAGTCAACGTGGTCAATGCTGTCAATGTCCCCCCTCCCTATCCCACGTGGTCCCACCCACCTGCCATCAGATCATACGGCTCTCCGTATCCCGTCTCGCCCACCCATCATCAGGTCGTACGATGCTGAGGTGTCCTACTTTGACTTGCACCCGTCTGCTGGGCCTGTCCCAGGGGCGCCCAGTCAACCCAGAGTCAACTCGGTCAACGCAGTCACCAGCACAAGCGGGGTGCATGGAGATTTGGGTGCTAGCCCCCCACCACCACCACCTCAGGCATCAGCCTTGGAAGCATCCCCAGCTCAAGCAGCAGCAGAGTCGGACGCATCTGCAGTCCCAGCAGCAGCAGCGTCTGGAGAATCCCCATCCCACGGCGTTCTCGCGCCCCCACTGCCAGGAGCATCACCATTGGAAGGGGGGCCGGTGAGGGGGCTAGAGAGGAGCTTCACTGATCAGCTCCCTAGAACGCATGGACTGGATGATGAGGATGAGGAGGAGGAGGTTGGGGTGGTGGAGGAGGGGGAGGAGAAGGTGGGAGAGGAGGTGGTGGTGGAGGAGGAGGGAGGGGCGGGAGGAGAAGGGAAAGGAGAGGTTGAAGGGGGTGGAGAGGGGAAGGGAGTGGGTGGAGGGGGTGGTGAGGGGAGGGGAGAGGGGAAGGGAGAGGAGGAAGGGATGCCGCTGCAGGCTGTGGAGTGGAACGGAAGGCTGCGACGGCGCACCTTCAGCAGCCCCATGCTGGTGAAGTCACGGTGAGAGGGAGAGAGGTGAAAGCTTGAAAAGACATGGTGAGAGGGAGAGAGATGAAATCTTGAAAGATAAGGTACAGAATGTTGATTCTTGAGGCGCCTCAAAAATCAAGACATGGTGAAGGCGCGCCTTCATCCAGGGACGCGGCTTAATTCAGGGGCGTGCCTTAATGCAGGGGCGCGCCTTAATCCAGGGGCGCGCCTTAATCCCGGGGCGGGCCTTAATCCAGGGGCGCGCCTTAATCCAGGGGCACGCCTTAATCCAGGGGCGTGCCTTAATGCAGGGGCGCGCCTTAATCCAGGGGCGCACCTTAATCCAGGGGCGCGCCTTAATCCAGGGGCGCGCCTTAATCCAGGGGCGCGCCTTCATCCAGGGGCGCGCCTTAATCCAGGGGCGTGCCTTAATGCAGGGGCGCGCCTTAATCCAGGGGCGCGCCTTAATCCAGGGGCGGGCCTTAATCCAGGGGCGCGCCTTAATCCAGGGGCACGCCTTAATCTTGGGGCGCGCCTTAATCCAGGGGCGGGCCTTAATCCAGGGGCACGCCTTAATCCAGGGGCGCACCTTAATCCAGGGGCGCGCCTTAATCCAGGGGCGCGCCTTCATCCAGGGGCGCGCCTTAATCCAGGGGCACGCCTTAATCTTGGGGCACGCCTTAATCCAGGGGCGAGCCTTAATCCAGGGGCACGCCTTAATCCAGGGGTGCAACTTAATCTAGGGGCACGCCGTAATCCAGGGGCGCGCCTTAATCCAGGGGCGCGCCTTAATCCAGGGGCACGCCTTAATCCAGGGGCGCGACTTAATCCAGGGGCGCGACTTAATCCAGGGGCGCGCCTTAATCCAGGGGCGCGACTTAATCCAGGGGCGCGACTTAATCCAGGGGCGCGACTTAATCCAGGGGAGCGCCTGCCTAGGTGTGTTTCTGGAGGCGCCTGCCTAAATGTGTTTCTGGAGGCGCCTGCCTAAATGTGTTTCTGGAGGTGCCTGTCTATGTGTGTTAATTCAGGTGTCATGAATGAGTGAAAGGCTGCTTGAGTGGGCTTTTTTTAAGTGTGTGGTCTTGGATCATCAGCAGTGGTCAATCCTTATATATAAGTTTCCTGTCATTTCTTCCTTGACTCCTATGTTCAGCACCACCAGCACAAGCAGCAGGCGCAGTATGAGCAGCATGAGGCGCAGCAGCTTCCCAGACGTGTGCACTGCAGGATGCACTGTGTGCGCCAGCAGCATTGACCTCTTTCAGCTTGCGATCAATCCAATTTAAACCCTTTCATTCTTTCTTCCTTGTGCCTCATGCGTGGCTCCTATTCATTCTTTCAGCACCACTTGCACAAGCAGCAACAGCATCAGACGCGGCAGCATGAGGCGCAGCAGCTTTCCAGACGTGTGCACGGCGGGATGCACTGTGTGAGCCAGCAGCACCGATCTCTCCCAAGTTTTTGAACAATCCAATCACAAACCTTTCCATTCTTTCTTCCCTGTGCCTCATGCGTGGCTCCTGTTCAGCACCACCAGCACAAGCAGCAGGCGCACTATGAGCAGCAGCAGGCGCAGCAGCTTCCCATACGTGTGCACTGCAGGATGCAATGTGTCCCAGCTTGCAATTAATCCAAATTGCAAATCTTTCCTTTCTTTCTTCCTTGTCACTCATGCGTGGCTTTTATGCGTGGCTCCTATGTTCAGCACCACCGGCACAAGCAGCAACAGCATCAGACGCGGCAGCATGAGGCGCAGCAGCTTCCCAGACGTGTGCACTGCGGGATGCACTGTTTGCGCCAGCAGCACCGACCTCTCGCAACTCGCTCGTTCCTCCCACGGCCTCCTCTCTCTTGACAGCTCATCAATCGACCCACCTCAATTTCCCCGCGTGAAATTGGGTCCTGCCACGTCAGCACCTGTGGGACTAGCTGGGCAGGAGGGGGTATTGCAGAAAGGAGGGCATAAGGGAGAGGGTGTGCCTGAAATTGGGGGGACGGAGAAGGATAAGCAGAGTGAGGGGCTGAGGCCCTGTTGGAGGACGGTGCGAGGAAAGTTCCACAGCGTGGGGGCGGCAGTGATGTCGTGTCGCAATGACAAGGCGCCAGATGGCGTCGCGGCACAGGCCCACCTGGCGGACGGCAATCTGCATCTCATCCTCATCCGCAAGTGCTCCCGCCCTGAATACCTGCAGTAAGCCCCCGCTATCCTTTGCTCTTTATTTGCACTAGTTTTAGGTGCCTGCCTCGGCGATGCTGCATATTTTCTGTTGTTGCCTCTTGTTTTTTTGCATTCCTTGCTTTCTTCCACCTCCCATCTCCCTTCCCCCCCATGGCAGTCAGCTGACTCGGCTAGCTCGCAAAGGGGCTGATCCATTCGCCTTTGACTTCGTGGAGACATACAAGGTACGTTGAAGAGGCTCATTTGCGAACAGAAATTCTTCAGTGAAATACGTCAAAACCTCCCTGCCCTAGATGTCTTTCAAGTTCCAATCCATCCTTCACACCTTATCACGCTCTTTCCGCTCCCATCCAATCCCCTCCTACCCTCGTTATTCATCCCGCTGTCCATCCCAATATGTTCTTATCACTAGACCCCTGCCTTCATGTTCACGTCTCACGGGAAGCAAAGCACGTGGAATGTGGATGGGGAGTTGGTGGTGGCCTCTCAACTCTCTGCTCAAGTCTTTCGTGGATTGGTTGACATATTTGCATCTGGACCTGAGTTCTAATTTGGTTACATTTGAATAGGACGATGTGAATAGTTTTCTTCACATTGATAAGGCGATGAAATGATTGCACACACCAACTTACCGCCACAATGTTTCCTTCTTGGTGTTTAAAATCACAGGTATTGTACCCTGTCAGGGTGTTAGGGAAACCTTGCTTACATGATGTTGAATTACCTGTAACGAATCTCCCACCCCCGCCTTTTTTTGGGGGGCTTCTTGGGATTGTCGTCAGGGGGTTTCTTCATCCATAGCGATTCTTTCACATTTCACAGCCGCTTCCTCCATTTCTCCAGTTCTTCAGCCTCTTTCCTCATCATTCTCGTCACTTGTCAATCCTCTCGTCTCACTCATCGCTTCTAGCCTAGTCGGGAACGCGGCCTTTCCCGTAGGCTTCCTCTCATGCTGTGCTTGCGGCTCGAGTCTGGAGTGCTGGGTTCCCCCCCACGCTCGACGTGACCTGGCTGGGCCTTTTTGTGTGTGTTATCCGTTACTATCAAGGCGAGCCATTTAAAATCCGCTGGACGACATTCAGACCCTGCGCGTTCCCGCGACTAGACGCTCGCAGGCTGGCGATAAGAAATTTGTGGATATCGACGATCAGGCGTTTTCGCCAGGCGTTGAGGCATTTGCAGATCGGTGGATAAAGTATTGCGGAAGCGACTTCTTTAGGCGACTCAGATATCATCTCCAGTATTGCAGAAACGCGAGCAGCCATTCGCTGCAATGTCGACGACTTACGACGAGCTCGTATCGGCGCGGTCGAAATTCGAGGAGCTTATATCGAAAATCCTTTTAACGAAGCAGAAACAGATTAAAGCGCTTGAAAGCGATGGGGGTAACGAGACTGGTAAAAACGAGGCCGCTTCCGCCGCTCTCGCCGACATTCAGGAGTTTTCAACAGAAGCCTCGGTGATCTTGCTGGATCTACGCCGTCTGAACCGTCAGATCTTAAACGACGAGGAGCGCGTTAAATCGGAGACCGAAGCGGCGCGAGCTCCCGTCGACACGACCGCGCTCCGGCTGCACAATCTTCAGTACAAGATGAACCACCACGCGAGATCGATCGCGGCGTATCGGGATTTCGTTTCGCGGCATCCGGACATCGAGCTGGTTAGCGCGCACGAGTTCTTTATGGATGCACCGGAGAGCCTTAAATCGGAGCCGGGGCTGGAGAAGGATCCGCACCGGCTGATGCTGCAGCGACTCAACTACGAGCTTCATCAGGTAAACCACGATCTACTTTCCGCCAGAGATTGAATCCTTACCGTTTCATCCGCCCTTCCATTTTTTACGTACCCCAATCTTGCGGTAGGAGCTGGTCCGCTCGCAACAGTTGCCAAGATCTTAGGGGTTTCTATGTCATCCGCATTTAGGTCTCTCCGCTTGTACTGATACAATTCTACCATTCTACAACCTCTCCCTTAATCCAGCGAAAGGAGCTGGTCCGCGCGCGGGAGATGCTGGAAATCCGACGGCGGACGCTCCAGGAGAGCATCAGCAGCCGGAAAAAGTTTCTGGGTAGCCTTCCCGGGCAGCTGAAAGCCCTTAAAAAAGCATCCGGTCCGCTCCAGCAGCAAATGGGGATGCAGCACTCGCGGCGGGTGAAGCAGCATCGCTTAGCGTCCCTCCTCCCTCCGCCTCTCTACGTTTTATACTCGCAATTAGCTGCTCGGAGGGACTCGTTAGAAGAGGCGATAGAGGTGGAGATTGAAGGGAGCGTTAGAGAGGCTGAAGCCTTTGCTGCTACGGTGGAAGAGAGAGAGGCAGCAGCGGCTGCCGCTGCGTCTGCTGCTGCGGCAAGGGGAGGGGGTGAGGAGGGTCAGATGGGGGAGGAGGAAGAGGGGGAGGAGGGAGAAGGGGAGAGAGACCGGGAGGATGAGGAGGAGGAAGGGCTGAGGAGGAGGCGACGAAAGTCGGATACTGAAAACGACGCCGCAGGAGCTATTGCTGCTGATGGTGCCGCTGCTGCTGATGGTGCTGCTGATAGTGCTGATGGTGGTGGGAACGGCGATGGTAATGGCGACGGTAACGGCGGTGCTGATGGTGCTGGCGCTGACGCTGCTGTTGCTGACGGTAACGGTGGCGGCGGTAATGGTGGCGGTGGTGCCGGTGCTCTGGGTACCATGGGTACTGCTATGGTGGTCAGTGAGGAGGGAGGGAAGCAGGCGCAACCGAATGCGCTGATTGGCGCAGCTGACCTTATAGGCGCAGTGGATTCCCCCCATCCGCTGGTTGTGGTGCTCCGCCTGCTGGACGCGCGGGGAAGGGCGGAGCGGGGGAACGCGGAGGCTGTTGGGCAGGGCGGGGAGCGCGGGGCGGAGGAGGAAGAAAAGGTGGAGAAAGAGAAAGAGAAGGAAAAGGAGAAGGAGAAGGAGAAAGAGAAGGGAAAGAGCAAGGCGAGGGAGAAAGAAGACGTGCAACAGCCCGCCCTGCTAGTGCTCCGCTACGAAATGCTCTGGAACCTCAGAGTCATCTGCGCAGGCCCCGTCGAATCCCAATCCCCGCCCCTCCTCCCGTCCTCCTCCTCCTTCTCCTTCTTCCCCACCCCTCCCTCACCCACCCTCCCCCCGTCCCCTCTCTCCCTCCACACTCTCCTCACCAACCTATTCCCGGAGGACTCAGGCCTTCTCTTTCCGAATATGGCTAAGGAGCCGTTAGCGCGGGAGAGTGGGTTCCTGGCGTCTCTCCCTACGCGCGTCTCTCGCCCATACTACTGGGCGCAGCTCATGTGTGGCCTGGATTTCCTCCCGCCCCTCCCTCCTTCCTTCCTGCTGCCCGCGGGCTCTTCTGCTGCTGCTGCTACTGCTGATGCTGCTGCTGCTGGTAAGGGTGATGCTCGTACCTCTGCCGCTGCTGCAATGGACGTCGATGCTTCTGCTGCCGCCGCTGCTGGTGCCGCTGCTCCTCCTGCGGCTGGTGCAGCTGCTGCAGCAACGGCAGTGGTAGCGGCGAGAGAGGGAGGGGCAGCGGAGGCAGGGCCTGGGGGAACGCGAGCAGCGCTGTTGGAGCGACTAGAGGCGTTTAGGGAGGAGCGGCGGCTGGGACGAGTGCTGCAGGCGATGAGGGAGAGGGTGACAGCTGCGAGAGAGCTCAAGTGAGTCATGTGAGTGGCTGCCTGGGGGGGTGGGATGATGAGTGATGGCTGTGATTGACTGGTTGGCTGAACGGACGGCTATGATGAGTCCCTTGGGGTGAGGAGATGAGCAGAGGCCTGTGAGTGCTGGAGCGAGTGACTGCCGCGAGAGAGCTCAAGTGAGTCATGTGAGTGCCTGCTAGAGGGAAGGGGGGAATGAGTGGCTTGAGGGGGAAGGACAGGGGGGAGGGGAGGTGGGATGATCATATGGCTTTGAGTGTTGCAGGCGATGGGGGAGCGAGTGACAGCTGCGAGAGAGCTCAAGTAAGTCATGTGAGTGGCTGGAAAGGGGATTGAGCGGGCAGTTAGGAGTGCCTGTGGGGATGGTCGGACGGCTATGATGAGTGCCTTGGGGGTGGGGAGATGAGCAGAGGCCTGTGAGTGCTGCAGTGCAGGCGACGAGGGAGCGAGTGACGGCCGCGAGAGAGCTCAAGTGAGTCATGTGAGTGCCTGGGGGGGGGAACGAGCAGATGGTGCCTGGGTGGTGGGGGAGCAACTGTTACGACTGCCTGGGGGGGAAGCTCGGGGGGGTGGGGGGTGAGCGGGAGGAGGGGGATGAGCGGACGGCTGTGCAGCGATGTCGTTTTCGTGTCATACATGGCATGGCAGCATTGTCTTCGAAACCGTAGGTTCTTTCCCCTGAACCAACAGTGCTCCTTCCTGCGTTTTGCTCCTGCTTCCTCCCCTTTTCCACCCTCCCTACCTCCCACCCTCCTCCTTCTCTAAATGCAGCGCGGTTCTCTCCTCCCTCGTTGCAAGCACACTCCCCACAAATGCTGCTGCTGCCCGTTATTCCTCTGGACCCTGGCCAGAAGATTCCGGGTACCTTCCTCAATGCTCCATTCTGAGCTGGCAGCTTCTCATTGGTCCGCTGGGATTCCCAAGCCCCACAAACAGCAACCAGATTGGGGGAAAGGCAGACAAGGGCGATTTGGCAGGTGGGAAGGGGGGAGAGAAGCGAGGGAAGGAGCGGCGAGGGGAGGGGAGGAGCGAGAGGGAAGGGGAGAAGGATAGGGGTGACAGGAAAGGAGATGAGAAGAAAGGGGAAGACAGGAAAGGGGATGAAAGGAAAGGAGACGAGAGGAAAGGCGACGAGAGGAAAGGAGACGAAAGGAAAGGTGATGAGAAGAAAGGAGAAGAGAGGAAAGGGGACGAGAGGAAGGGGGAGAAGGGATCAGGGGAGGATGGATCGTCTCGTGGCAAAGGAGAAGGGAAAGGTGGATTGTTTGTTGGTGGCTTGGGACAAGAGGGCGGCTTGATGGTTGGTGGTCTGGCAGGAGAGGGTGGTTTGTCGCCTGGTGTTTTGCTCTCCAGAGCGCTGGTGATTGCACAGAGGAGGAGACTTGGGGGACTGGCAGGGGTGGGTGGGACAAGTGAGGTTGATGAAGGGTCAGCAGGGAAAGGCGAGGGTGGGGGGAAGAAGCGGGAGAGCGAGGGGAAGAGCAGTGGCAGGGAGAGGAGGAGCAGTAGGGAGGGCAAGGAGAAGGGTGAAGGGAAAGCGAGTGATGGGAAGGGGGGTGATGACACACGGGCGCTGGAAGAGAGGGATGGAGAGAAAGGAAGCAAGCGAGCACACGGGGAAAAAGCAGCAACAGTTGTAGCAGCAAGAGGATCGGCAGCAGAAGGATCTGCAGGGGACGGGCAGGGTGGAGGGGGCAGTGGGGACATAGAAGGGGCAGTGTGGGTGGCGTTGCCGTGGTCGTGGGCGGCAGCACATGGCATCCATCCCTCCACCCCTGCTGCTCTCGCCTGGGAGACTGTGCTGGGGGCCGGTGCCTGTGTGTATGAGCTCATTGTGCGGGGCGCAGTGGGCGGAGGGGGTGGAGGGAGTGGTGGGAGTGGAGAGCGGAAGGGGAGGAAGGAGGAGGGCGAGAGGGGTGTGTGTGACCTGCAGGCACTGGTATGTGATCTTTTAGCTTTGATCCACCTCCTTGTTTCTTATTTACCCCCCCTGTCTCTTATTAATCCGAAAATTGCTCGCTGACTCCTGCTCCCAGTGCTTGATTCCACCCTATATCTGTTTCCCTCGGCATTCCTCCATACGGCATCATTATCATCCCCCCTCCTCACCCCCTGACGCCCATACCATCAGGTCGTCATCTATCCAGACTTTCCTCGCCGCCCGCCTCTTTTTTCCCTCCACCTCTTCTCCCCCTCCACTCCCTCCACTGCTCAACAACCCCTCCTCCCCTCCTCCACCGCCCAAGTCACACTCACTCCATCTGCTTCACCCCCCTCCTCCCATGCTTCCTCTCATGCCTCCATACTGCTCGACGGGCTGTTCTCTCTTGAGTCTGAGGTAAGAACTCTCACCCCCTTTCTACGTCTTGCCCCCCTCTCGTCTCTCCCTCTTTTTCACCTTCCCCTCTTTCCTCCCGTCGCCCTCCCCCACTCCCCGTACAGACTACGATGGTTGAGCTCTTTAAAAGGGGTTGGCCAAAGCATAACGCGTCCGCCGCCTAACCACCACACCCTCCGCTGCTGCATTTTTCAGGTGAACATGGGGAGCATGGGAAGTGCAACGAGCCCTCCATCCTCGTACCTGACTCCGAGTCTCCTCTACCACCAGCTGCGCCACTTGCTAAGGGGATTCGACATGCTCTTGAGCTCGGCCTCAGATCTCACATGTAGAGGCGCCTCTGGGAGAATGGGTTATTTGGCACGAGGATTTAGAGGTCGCAACAGGGAGTGTATGTTGTAAGGGCTGCGCTGGGACCTCGAGTGTTCCTTCTGTTGAAGCGGGATTCTTATTACTGCTTTTCTGCATCTTATACAAATAGCAACATCGTTTCATTGAGAGCAGCCGATTTTATCGAGATATGGCTCTGTGGAGACGAAGATTTTTGCCCCAGAACAAAGGAAATCGCGAATCAGCTTTCACCACGTGGTTTCGCTTATCACGAAGACACGCACGCTCGTTAAAAAGTTGTGTACATTTGGTCCAATCACAACCATGCAGGTCATCACCCCTCGCAATCTGCTGATGCATTGCCAATGTCCGCTCCGGCAATTTTTATTCAGCCCGCTTTTCGCGCCAGTCTCCCGAAAGTTGCGGTACTTCTACCGTCACTTTGTGATCTCCATTCCACCGCATCCCATCTCGCCCCACCTTGCCTCACCTCCTCTTGACCCTTACTGGGACCCTTGTGTTCTTCAGCTTTCCGCCATTATCCACCATCCCTTAGTTATTCTTCATCATACCTGCTATCAAGTTCTCACAACACGTCACTCTTGCCCTACGTCAGGTTCCTGTTTTAGGAGAGGGAGTCGAGCAGTCGTCGCGCATCTTTTCGGCATTTTTCTGTTTTTGTACGCGTTAAACTTCTCAAGCCATGGCTGCTCTCACTACCAGCTCCCTCTCCTCAAAGGTGGCGACAACCGCGCTTTCCGCGAGTGCCGCGTCATCCATGGCTCTTGCCAGCTCAGCCACTATCTCGGGAACTCCGGTCCTTCGCTCCGCTGCTTCCGTCAGCAAGCGTGCACCGGCCGGCAAGACTAACGGCTCCGTCAGGTGCTCCGCGAAGCCGTCAGCTTCCAACGACGAGAGCAACCGAGCCTTCGCTTTGAGATCTTTCCGCGAGAAGAAGGCTTTCAAGGTGTGCTTTTGCAGGAAAGCTGAACATCAGTATCACAGTCGTACATTCTTAGAGTACCAGAACAGTTTGTCTTTGTCGTCCGTTGTCGTTCGTTCATTGTCAGGATCTCGCATTCACGTCTCACGTGGTGAGGAAAAAAAAGCACAACCTTTTGTTGCTCGTGCGTCTGCTTGTGAGGAAAGGGACTGCTTGCTTGTTCACGATCACGGCATCACTCTCTTTCTGTTCGTCATCTTTCGTTTCATAAACCTTATTTTTCCTTCATTCTCAATGTCGTTTCTGGTGCCTTCAGGCCATCGCAGGACTCAACAACTTCGATGCCGACTCTGTCGCCGCTGTCGTCTCCGCTGCTGAGAAGGTACGCAACGACTGTCCAACACTTCTTTCCTCATTACCATTCTTTAATCTACCCCATCCCCCACTTGCCCCATTCGCCCCTTCGCCATCCCCTCCTTCCCCCGACGTGCATCGTCTATTTTACAATTTTTTCGCTCCGGTCCATCAGCTCTTCCACTCGCCTCTTTCCATTGCTGGATCCTGAATCTCTATCTTCTTGGCTTCTCTCCTCACTCCGCATCTGATCACTTCGTTCATCCCCGTCGGTTCACCACCCCGTCTTTCCCGCATCCATCCCCGTGCAATACTCACCAGGGAGGGGCCACGGTGGTCGACATTGCCTGCGATGCCGACCTCGTCCGCCTCGCCCGCTCCCTCACCTCTCTCCCTGTAAGCCTTCAGCCTCAGCGTCTCTCCCTGAAGAATTCTTGCCCGCTCCTCATCGCTGTCTCTGGAAGCCATTCCAGGCATGAGGGTACACATGCATGGGTGTATTCTTATCTCTCCTATTTGTTAGAAAACAGCCTCCTTTTCCCTTCAACCCATATATGGTTCTGCCCTGGCCTGTTCCTACCTCACCCCGTCCTTCGTCTCTCCCTGCCTTGTTCCTCCCTCCCTCTGCTCTCTTCCTCCTCCTCCTCCTTCCCTGTTCTTCCCTCGCCCTGTCGATCAGATCTGCGTGTCGGCAGTCGTGCCGGAGTGACTTCTGAGTCGACTCAAAAGTCTCCCTTCCTCTGCTCTTTCCCGTCTCTTTTCCCTGTTCCTCTCTCGCGCCGTCGATCAGATCTGCGTGTCGGCGGTTGAGCCGGAGAAGTTCGTCGAGGCAGTTGCTGCTGGCGCGCACATGGTGAGTCTGTGTCATTGCTTGCGATTAGGGATCACATGATACGGCAATCAAGTCAAGGGGTGAACGTGTTCATTCCGCAATGCAAGCAAACATACTCCAGCCTGTTCACTCATGCGCTTGGAGTTTTTCCACGTCGTTTTAATCCAATCTCTTCTGCTCGATTCAATTCCACGTGGCAGATCGAGATTGGCAACTTTGATTCGTTCTATCCTGACGGCCGGGAATTTACCACAGAGGAGGTAAGGCGGGGCTGTGCCACGGGGGTAAGACGCGAGATTGTAGACGCCTCAAAATACGAATTCCCTGCGGAGGAGGCAAGGTTACGCCGAAGAGCTCGAATCTCAAAACTCCACGGGTGTGCCTCAGAGTCGCGAAAAACTCAAAATCTCAACGTAAAATCAACGGATTTACGGCGCGGCTGAGGACTTGAAGAGTGGCACAAGGCTCATCAGTGTAGGTGAAGGGGAACGGTGGAAAATAGCTCCGGATGCTGTGGATGCATGATATTCATGATGTGAGTGGACTTGGAGCCACTGAAGCGGGTCGGTATCGTCGCGTCAATACGCGCCGTTTGAGTTTCGTCACGAATATAGAGTTTCTGAAAGCAGAGTAACAAAGCAAGGAAACGACGAGAGGAGGCTAGAGTGACGGGGTGGTATGGATGAACAGCATGAGCTGAGCTGACGGCTAGAGCACGGAGGGCGTTTCAGTCGGGTAGGCGCCACTTGTTAGCATGATACGGGGCGTGAGCGCAGTTATGCTGATTTATCTTCCCTCTCCCGATCGCTGCAGGTGCTTGACTTGACTCGTCGCACTCGCCAGCTGCTCCCCTCCATCGCCCTCTCTGTCACCGTGCCCCACACTCTGCCTCTGCCCGAACAGGTAACCCTCTGTCCGCACCCTTCCAACCACCCTACCCATCCCGCACCCTTCCAACCACCCCACCCATCCTGTACTTCTTCCCTCCCTCTCATCCATTTTTTATCACCGTAGCCCACACTCTGCTTCTTCCGGTGCTGATGATAAAGTTTTCCTTTTTGCCCCCAATCACGCCCATTCCCAGTTACTCCCATCCCTTCGTTCCAACCCCGTCTTCCCGAATTCCTCCCATCCAATCAACCCTCCCATTGATCCATCCCTTATCTCCCCCTAAAACCCTTTTCACTATGTGCATTTCTCCTCCCACTTCTTGTCTACTGCCATCACCTGTCAGCCACCCTCCCCCCTATCGCCTATCCCAGACAGACCTATGCCATGCCATCTCACCCTCTCCCTACCCATCAACCTTCCCTTCCATCTCTTCTGCGTCATACTCCCCTCCCACTCTCCTCTCGTCCCCCTCTACTCCCCTCCCACTCCCCTCTCATCCCCGCCTACTCCCCGCTCACTCCATCCAGGTCGCTCTGGCAGAGGCTCTGCAAGAGTGTGGTGCTGACGTCATCCAGACTGAGGGCGGAACCAGCTCAGCAGCTTCCTCTGCTGGCGTTCAAGGGCTGGTGGAGAAGGTGGGTGGGTTGGCTGTATGTGATGAGTCGACTCAGTGGGAGAGAAGGGGGGGGGTGGGGGGTGGGTGGTGACGGAGGGGAGGTGTTTGCTGTATGCGTCAATTTCTGTGTCTACTTGAAATGTGTGGGTGACGTTCTATGAGTCACTCCCATATTACAATCTTCACATCCCTCTCTACCTCCACCAACATCATATCCACCTACTCCAAGACTCATGCCATCACCATACGTACAATGTCTCTAGCGTCAAAGAGTTGTTGTCACCTCTCAGGGCAGCCGTAGCCCTAGTATGATCCGTTCCTTGGTGCTTCTGCCCCCTCCCCCCCCCCCCCCCCCCCCCCCCCCCCCCCCCCCCCCCCTTCCTCCATCCAGGCCACCCCCACCATTGCAGCCACCTACTCTATCGCGCGTGCTGTCACCATCCCTGTCATGTGTGCCTCTGGTCTCAGCGCTGTCACTGTCCCACTCGCCTTCGCTGCTGGTGCTTCTGGAGTGGTATGTCTGCGTCTATCCCTCCCTCCCTCCCCCTGGTCTTTTTGTTTGTTTGTTTGTTTGTTTTTGTTTCTCTGCCACTTTTATTGCCACCATGCAATGACCATTGCCCAACCGGCCATTGATTTCCTTAACGAGTCTCCTTACTGTCTTCTGCAGGGTGTTGGATCTGCCATCAATCGCCTGAATGAGCCTATTGCGATGGTGGCTGCAGTGCGGGAAATTGCAGATGCGGTGAATAGCCCAGCCGCCGAGAAGAAGGCAGCTGCCAGTGGTGCTAACAATTGAATCTGAAACATGGGTAACATTGGTGTTATTTAGTCATAATTTAGGAAAACGAAAAGCAGTGCCTTAATTAGTGAAGCTGTTCTATATCGCAATGCTTGCGCCTCGCTGATTCACACAGAATTGATTATAATCGATATATGCACATTAGTTTACGAACCTAGCAGGTTGCAGAGATACGGTATGGGTAAAAATCGGTTGGCCAGCTTTATCACGACGTTCAACTACCAAGTCAGGGAAAAAACCGAACCAAATTTGGTCCAGCGATTGTTCGCAAATCGTGGCTTGGTCTGACGCTGTTCCCGCCGAGCCTAAATGACTCCAACTTTCGACCAACAGTGATCAGCCTCCATCATTCGGAAACAGTCACACTTGGGCCCTGAGTCCTGCCGGACCTCTCCCCGAACCTCGGTACTGCAGTTCGCCTCATCATGCCTCCGCTCGCTTGGTCTCCGTGGCCCTTGGGATCATCATTATCTCCTTGATCCTCTCTTCCGCCATCCCCCCCTTGCCTCCCTCGCGCGAGAGATTCCAGCACAACCGCTACCGCGACGGGGCCATAGTTTCCGCTCCCGCACCGTAAACGCGCACGTTCCACCCTTGGGCCCGAGCCTAGATGATCATCACCTTCCGCGCGCGCCCTTGGGATCATCATACCCTCCCCTCCTGTTTGGCCTTCCTCATCATCGCTCTGCCGTGCCCGTGCGTTCGCTGCGAGGAAAACTACAAACCCTAGCTGACGGCACTGATAGCCTCCCAGCGGGACAACTGCAACAAACCACTCAGTGCGATCCCTGGGATCATCATTTTCTTGATAGACTTGAACCGCCACTTTCTGAACGCCACTGGTCAAAGCAGCTTCACTGAGCAAACCCCCACCTGTCCTGCCGAGGCTGGTGATTGGCTTGTTTTGGTGAGGGAAAAGTGCAGATTAGGTTAGGGTTGGAGAAGCGTAAGAGACACGAGTTAGAGGGATTATAAAAGCGTAATGGGAACGTCGGCGGGAGGAGCAGGGCAAGGGCAAGAGAAATCGCATGAAAGCGGAGAGGAGAAGAACGAGAGAGAGCAGGATGAGGAGGGAGATCAGTATCCCGGCAATGAAGGTCCCACGGAGGGAGGGAAATACGTTAGATATACGAGCGAGCAGGTGGAGGTATTGGAGAAAGTCTATAAAGAATGCCCGAAACCGAGCTCCGTGCGGCGGTCGCAACTTATTAAGGAATATCCCGTTCTGTCGAATATCGAGCCGAAGCAGATCAAAGTCTGGTTCCAGAACCGAAGGTATTGAATCAGCTAGCGCAGTTTCTAGGGCGTTCTTAGTGTTATTTTTTATTCGAACACGTACGGCCTCGCATCTTCTCTTTCAAGCCTCCTCGTTGAAAAAGCGGAGATTGGAGCTGCATTTGAGACAACTCTTCCTCGTTACGGTTACTTCCTTCCACGAAATTGACAGTAGACGAAGTTGTGCAATTTCGAATCGTTCTCTCACGCGTCAGTCGGTGCGCTTTCGACGTTGGAACCCGAGCAATCCCAGATAGCTAGAGCCTCAAAGTCGCCACATTGTTCCCTGTTCGACTAGCAACCGAAGCAAACCTCTCTTGAGTAGCTAACTTTCCTTCTCAATGAGTCCGATCTCTCCAACGCTGTAACAATATCTCTTTTTTGCAACCCTGTAACCCGCTCCCGCTCCTCCAGATGTCGCGAGCGGCAGCGGATGGAGTACAGCCGGCTGCAGAGCATGAACTCGCGCCTCTCCGCCTTAAACAAGCTCCTAGTAGAAGAGAACGAGCTCTCCACGCGCAAGATCTCGCAGCTCACGCTCGAAAACATGCTCCTGCGACAGCAGGTCGCACGCCTGGAAGCGTCGCAGCAGCTCGGCGGACCCACGCCGGGGTCTGTAGCTGCGGCGGCTGCCGCTGCTGCTGCGGCTGCTGCGGCCGCGGACCCGCTGAAGCTCCCCGGCGCTGCTGCTGCTGCCGCAGCTGCTGCAGGCGGACCTGTTCCCGGCATTCCCACTGCTGTAAGCGTTTTCCTCCTCATGTCTCTCCTCATGCTGCTGCGGCTGCTGCTGCGGCTGCTGCGGCCGCGGACCCGCTGAATCTCCCCGGCGCTGCTGCTGCTGCCGCTGCGGCTGCTGCGGGTGGTCCCGTTCCCGGCATTCCCACTGCTGTAAGCGTTTACGTTCCTTCGGAAAATCTCTGCCGCGAAAACTGTTCCATGGCTGTTCGTGCGGCCCTCATCTCTCCGTTCTTCCACGTTCTCCCGTCATGACCTCTATCGCCACTCTCTAGACCCAAAACCAACCCCACCCCCAGTTCGTCTCATCTCCCCGCCCTGTCTGTCCCCTCTCCCTCCGTTCCGTCCCCTTATCTTCCATCCCTTGGCATCAGCTGGTTCTCCCTCCGGGAATGCACCCGGGCCTGCCACTGGGTCAGCCAGACGTCTTTCTCTCATCTCGTCTCATCGCTTACTCCCTGTGAATTTCCCTCCGTTCCCTCCTTCCCCTCCCTCTCCTTCCCCCTTGTCCCTTGGCGTCAGCCGGTTCTACCCCCGGGAATGCACCCGGGTCTGCCGCTGGGTCAGCCAGACATCTCTCTCTCTCTCATTCGTCTCACTGCTTCCTCCCTGTGGGCTTCCCGTGCGTTCCCTCCTTCTCCTCCCTCTCCCTTACCCATCCCTTGGCATCAGCCGGTTCTCCCCCCGGGAATGCATCCAGGTCTGCCCCTGGGTCAGCCAGACATCTTCTCCCAACTGCGAGCGGCTGCGCTAGGAGGGGTGGGCGGGGCGGGAGGGGTGGGAGGAATTGGAGGGGTGGGCGGGGAGTTTGGCGGAGGGGCGGCCGCTTTAGACGCGCTCAAACAGCGGCAACTGGGAGCGGCGCAGCAGCAGCAGCAGCAACAGCAACAGCAACAGCAACAGCAGCAGCAGCAGCAACAGCAATCACAACAACAGGGAATGGCACCGCAAGCAGAGCAGCAGCAGTTGCTGCCAAGGCTGGGGTTTGCGGGCACCAATCTCACCTCGGACTCTGCTGTCACGGGATCAAACCCTGCCGGCGACCCAGGCGCCTCTGGGTACGTCTCTCCTGCTCTTCCCCTTCAAGTTCTGCTTGCCTCTCTGCTTGCCTCTCTGCTTGCCTCTCTGCTTGCCTCTCTGCTTGCCTCTCTGCTTGCCTCTCTGCTTGCCTCTCTGCTTGCCTCTCTGCTTGCCTCTCTGCTTGCCTCTCTGCTTGCCTCTCTGCTTGCCTCTCTGCTTGCCTCTCTGCTTGCCTCTCTGCTTGCCTCTCTGCTTGCCTCTCTGCTTGCCTCTCTGCTTGCCTCTCTGCTTGCCTCTCTGCTTGCCTCTCTGCTTGCCTCTCTGCTTGCCTCTCTGCTTGCCTCTCTGCTTGCCTCTCTGCTTGCCTCTCTGCTTGCCTCTCTGCTTGCCTCTCTGCTTGCCTCTCTGCTTGCCTCTCTGCTTGCCTCTCTGCTTGCCTCTCTGCTTGCCTCTCTGCTTGCCTCTCTGCTTGCCTCTCTGCTTGCCTCTCTGCTTGCCTCTCTGCTTGCCTCTCTGCTTGCCTCTCTGCTTGCCTCTCTGCTTGCCTCTCTGCTTGCCTCTCTGCTTGCCTCTCTGCTTGCCTCTCTGCTTGCCTCTCTGCTTGCCTCTCTGCTTGCCTCTCTGCTTGCCTCTCTGCTTGCCTCTCTGCTTGCCTCTCTGCTTGCCTCTCTGCTTGCCTCTCTGCTTGCCTCTCTGCTTGCCTCTCTGCTTGCCTCTCTGCTTGCCTCTCTGCTTGCCTCTCTGCTTGCCTCTCTGCTTGCCTCTCTGCTTGCCTCTCTGCTTGCCTCTCTGCTTGCCTCTCTGCTTGCCTCTCTGCTTGCCTCTCTGCTTGCCTCTCTGCTTGCCTCTCTGCTTGCCTCTCTGCTTGCCTCTCTGCTTGCCTCTCTGCTTGCCTCTCTGCTTGCCTCTCTGCTTGCCTCTCTGCTTGCCTCTCTGCTTGCCTCTCTGCTTGCCTCTCTGCTTGCCTCTCTGCTTGCCTCTCTGCTTGCCTCTCTGCTTGCCTCTCTGCTTGCCTCTCTGCTTGCCTCTCTGCTTGCCTCTCTGCTTGCCTCTCTGCTTGCCTCTCTGCTTGCCTCTCTGCTTGCCTCTCTGCTTGCCTCTCTGCTTGCCTCTCTGCTTGCCTCTCTGCTTGCCTCTCTGCTTGCCTCTCTGCTTGCCTCTCTGCTTGCCTCTCTGCTTGCCTCTCTGCTTGCCTCTCTGCTTGCCTCTCTGCTTGCCTCTCTGCTTGCCTCTCTGCTTGCCTCTCTGCTTGCCTCTCTGCTTGCCTCTCTGCTTGCCTCTCTGCTTGCCTCTCTGCTTGCCTCTCTGCTTGCCTCTCTGCTTGCCTCTCTGCTTGCCTCTCTGCTTGCCTCTCTGCTTGCCTCTCTGCTTGCCTCTCTGCTTGCCTCTCTGCTTGCCTCTCTGCTTGCCTCTCTGCTTGCCTCTCTGCTTGCCTCTCTGCTTGCCTCTCTGCTTGCCTCTCTGCTTGCCTCTCTGCTTGCCTCTCTGCTTGCCTCTCTGCTTGCCTCTCTGCTTGCCTCTCTGCTTGCCTCTCTGCTTGCCTCTCTGCTTGCCTCTCTGCTTGCCTCTCTGCTTGCCTCTCTGCTTGCCTCTCTGCTTGCCTCTCTGCTTGCCTCTCTGCTTGCCTCTCTGCTTGCCTCTCTGCTTGCCTCTCTGCTTGCCTCTCTGCTTGCCTCTCTGCTTGCCTCTCTGCTTGCCTCTCTGCTTGCCTCTCTGCTTGCCTCTCTGCTTGCCTCTCTGCTTGCCTCTCTGCTTGCCTCTCTGCTTGCCTCTCTGCTTGCCTCTCTGCTTGCCTCTCTGCTTGCCTCTCTGCTTGCCTCTCTGCTTGCCTCTCTGCTTGCCTCTCTGCTTGCCTCTCTGCTTGCCTCTCTGCTTGCCTCTCTGCTTGCCTCTCTGCTTGCCTCTCTGCTTGCCTCTCTGCTTGCCTCTCTGCTTGCCTCTCTGCTTGCCTCTCTGCTTGCCTCTCTGCTTGCCTCTCTGCTTGCCTCTCTGCTTGCCTCTCTGCTTGCCTCTCTGCTTGCCTCTCTGCTTGCCTCTCTGCTTGCCTCTCTGCTTGCCTCTCTGCTTGCCTCTCTGCTTGCCTCTCTGCTTGCCTCTCTGCTTGCCTCTCTGCTTGCCTCTCTGCTTGCCTCTCTGCTTGCCTCTCTGCTTGCCTCTCTGCTTGCCTCTCTGCTTGCCTCTCTGCTTGCCTCTCTGCTTGCCTCTCTGCTTGCCTCTCTGCTTGCCTCTCTGCTTGCCTCTCTGCTTGCCTCTCTGCTTGCCTCTCTGCTTGCCTCTCTGCTTGCCTCTCTGCTTGCCTCTCTGCTTGCCTCTCTGCTTGCCTCTCTGCTTGCCTCTCTGCTTGCCTCTCTGCTTGCCTCTCTGCTTGCCTCTCTGCTTGCCTCTCTGCTTGCCTCTCTGCTTGCCTCTCTGCTTGCCTCTCTGCTTGCCTCTCTGCTTGCCTCTCTGCTTGCCTCTCTGCTTGCCTCTCTGCTTGCCTCTCTGCTTGCCTCTCTGCTTGCCTCTCTGCTTGCCTCTCTGCTTGCCTCTCTGCTTGCCTCTCTGCTTGCCTCTCTGCTTGCCTCTCTGCTTGCCTCTCTGCTTGCCTCTCTGCTTGCCTCTCTGCTTGCCTCTCTGCTTGCCTCTCTGCTTGCCTCTCTGCTTGCCTCTCTGCTTGCCTCTCTGCTTGCCTCTCTGCTTGCCTCTCTGCTTGCCTCTCTGCTTGCCTCTCTGCTTGCCTCTCTGCTTGCCTCTCTGCTTGCCTCTCTGCTTGCCTCTCTGCTTGCCTCTCTGCTTGCCTCTCTGCTTGCCTCTCTGCTTGCCTCTCTGCTTGCCTCTCTGCTTGCCTCTCTGCTTGCCTCTCTGCTTGCCTCTCTGCTTGCCTCTCTGCTTGCCTCTCTGCTTGCCTCTCTGCTTGCCTCTCTGCTTGCCTCTCTGCTTGCCTCTCTGCTTGCCTCTCTGCTTGCCTCTCTGCTTGCCTCTCTGCTTGCCTCTCTGCTTGCCTCTCTGCTTGCCTCTCTGCTTGCCTCTCTGCTTGCCTCTCTGCTTGCCTCTCTGCTTGCCTCTCTGCTTGCCTCTCTGCTTGCCTCTCTGCCTGCCTCCCTGCCTGCCACCCTGCCTGGCTGCCTCCCTTGCCCTGCACTCCCCTCAACCGCCCTGTCTTCTAATCATAGAAAAGAAATTTCTTGACAGTTTCTACCATCTTCCCTCCTTCCTCCGTCCTGGCTCTTGCCTGTCCGTTCTGTGCCCTTCCATTCCGTGCCCTTCCCTGCCCTTGCATCTGCCCTCATGCTGTGTGTCACGGTCTTCCCTCCCTCCCCTCTCCTCCCTCCAACCCCCCCTCCCCACCCAGCCTGCTACCCATAGCGGAGCAGATCCTGTCCGAGTTCTTGGCGAAGGCCACTGGCACGTCCATGGACTTGGTTGAAATGCCGGGCGTCAAGGTAAGGCGGAACGGAAGGTGCTGGGAGCGAAGGTGAGGCGAGGGAAGGCGGGAAGGCGGGGAATGGTTTCTGTGGATTATACTTTGAAAGCCACTGGCACGTCCATGGACTTGGTTGAGATGCCGGGCGTCAAGTTGAGGCGAGGTGAAGGGGGGAACGGGGAGGTGGGAAGTTTGTTTCACTGCATGGCAGACTCTGAAGTCTATTGGCACGTCCAAGGACTTCGTTGAAACGCCGGGTGTCAAGGTGAGGCGAGGCGAGGGGGGGAGGTGGTCGGGAACATAAACGCAAGGAGAGGAAGAGGCGGGAAAGGTGGGGAGTTGTTTCAGTCGTACTTTTAAAGCTACTGGAACGTCCATGGACTTTTGAAATGCCAAAATCAAAACAAGGCGAGTGGGGGAGAGAGGCGGGAAGGTGGGGAATGGTCTGCGTGGTTTATACTCTCTGAAGGCTGTTGGCATGTCCGTGGTTTCCATGGGCCTAGTATGCGGAGTAGTTGAGAAGTCTCAAACTTAACTCTTTTCTCTCCATTCCGCGTTCATCCCACGTGGCAGGTGGGAGCAGGCTACATAGGCAAGGTCACCATTGCATGTGGAGGGCCAGGTGTTGCGGCTCGGGCGGCTGGCCTCGTGCTGCTGCCGCCCAGCAAGGTGAGTTCGACCTGTGTTCCTTTCTGGCTTGCTATGTACACCATGATACATATGCACGGCCAGTTTGTTTCAAACTAAAACAATCGTGATTCTCTGCCCACACTGCCCACATATGGCTGCTCCTATTCCACTCGGTTCACACACATAATGATTTCTCTCGCCTCCTCTCTTATCTCCCTGCAGGCAGCAGAGCTGCTCTAGGAACGGGCCGAGGGAGTGCCGGCCGCTGTGACGTTCTGGGGGGTCCTCTGATCCGATGGTCGGACTTCCACTCTCCCTCCCATCCTCACCCCCTTCCCCCCTTCCCTCGCAGGCAGCAGAGCTGCTCAAGGACCGAGTGGCGTGGCTGAGGGAGTGCCGGCGCTGCGACGTGTGTTGGGGGTCTTCTTGTGTCTGACAGTCTTAAAGTGAATTATTATCCTCTTGTTTCTCCCCACCTCCCTGCAGGCAGCAGAGCTGCTCAAGGACCGAGTGGCGTGGCTGAGGGAGTGCCGCCGCTGCGACGTGCTGGGGGGCTTTCGCACTCCCAATGGCGGCACTGTGGAGCTCGTCTACACCCAGGTGCGCCCAGGTGTACTCTCAGGTGGGCTCAGGTGAAATTTCAGGTGCATTTAGGTGGATTTCGGGGTGCGCTCAGGTGATGTACGGATGTATTGGCATGTCCTTGCACGCCCATGCACGCTCTGATAGCTCCCTTACCGCCACCGTACTTGCATGTTGCTCCCACTTCCCCATTCTGCAGATGTACGCGCCAACAACCCTCGCCCCACCTCGTGACCTCTGCACTTTACGCTACACCTCTCTTCTAGAGGACGGCGTGGTCATCTGTGAGCGGTCGCTGAGCAACGCGCATGGGGGCGCGTCCATGCCTGCAGTGCCCTCGTTTGTGCGCGCGGAAATGCTCCCAAGCGGCTACCTCATCCGCCAGTGCGACGGGGGAGGATCCGTCATTATCGCTGTTGATCATCTTGACCTGCAGGTGCGTCACGCTCCGTCCTCCCTCCGTCGTTTGTGCGCGTCTTGCTGAGATGCTCCCCAGTGGCTACCTCATCCGCCAGTGCGACGGGGGAGGCTCTGTCATCATCGCTGTCGACCACCTCGACCTGCGGGTGAGGCCCCCCTCTTTGCTCTGTCGCTACCCTCCCTCCCCCTCCTCTCACCATGCCGTGCCAAAATGCTCCCCAGTGGCTACCTCATCTGCCAGTGCGACGCTATGTGACGGAAGACGCAAGACGCGTCTTGCGTCTAGCGTCTAGACGCTAGACGCTAGACGCACGTTTAGACGCTAGACGCTTCGGTAAAAAAATTTCGGGCAGCCCGTTTTTTTTTTTTTTTTTTTTGCATGGATGTAGTAGTAGCTATTTACTTCGTGTTTGCTACTGCTAGAGAGACGAGGTTCCTAACTATGTATGATGAGAAAGGAGGTTTTTTGTCAACTCTAATTATGGGGAAAAACCTTTGGTACGGCGGAAATTTGACCCAAATGTGCCATATGTGCATGTCCTCCACCCTCCCCATGGCCCTCAGAAGTTTTTTTAGGCTGCCCGAACATCTTTTTTAGGCCTGCCCGGGTTTTCGTCTAATATGCGTCTAACCTAGGCGGAAATGCGTCTAGCGTCTTAGACGCTGCGTCTAGACGCAACCGTCTAAGACGCTAGACGCGTCTTCCGTCACATAGGTGCGACGGGGGAGGCTCTGTCATCATTGCTGTTGACCACCTCGACCTGCAGGTGCGATTCTTCATGGATGCCTTTTCTGTCCTGTGGGCTTGGTCATGCGGGTCTGGTCGTGCAGATACGTGCATGATACCAGTCAGTTTCCGCCGCCGCCTTCTCCCTGCCCTTTCAAACCTTTGCCTCATTCCCCGAACCCGCCACCCCTCTCCCCCTCCCCCGCACTCCCACCAGGCGTCCAGCGTGCCCGAGGTGCTGCGGCCGCTGTACCAGTCGTCGGCAGCGCTGGCACACCGAATGACCATCGAGGCCCTGCGCTACCTGCGCAAGGTGGCCAACGAGGGGTCACCAGGCGGGGGCGAGGCAACTAGTGGGGAGGGCGGGGCGGCGGGCAGCAGAGCAGAGTCTGGGCGGCCACAGGACCGGCAGCTGACAGCATGGCGAGCAATTGCAGAGCGCATTGCCATGTGAGTGAGTGGGGGGAGTGTTGGTGTGCATGGGAGCAGGAAGTGGGATGGGTGGCGTGGGGGGCGGCGGGCAGCAGAGCAGAGTCGGGGCGGCTGCAGGACCGGCAGCTCACGGCATGGCGCGCGATTGCAGAGCCCATTGCCATGTGAGTGTCTGAGTGGGTGAGAAGAGTGGTCGAGTGAATGGGTGCTTGGCATGAGAGCAGTAAGTGAGGGGCGGCGGGCAGCAGGGTGGAGTCGGGCCGGCCGCAGGACCGGCAGCTCACGGCTTGGTGCGCGATCGCAGAGCGTATTGCCATGTGAGTGAGATGAAACGAGTGTTTATGGGAGTGAAATGAGAGGTTGGACAGGTGGTGCGGGGGGGTTATACGGGCATCAGGGCGGAGTCGGGGCGGCTGCACGACCAGCAGTTCACGGCTCAGCGAGCGATTGCAGAGCGCATCGCCAGTCCCCAGGCATCTGCATTCTTCCGTTCCCAAGCTGCATCTGCAGTTCCCAAGCTGCACCTGCAGTTCCCAAGCTGCACCTGCAGTTCCCAAGCTGCAGCTTCAGTCACGAGTTGGGTTCTTAACTCCCTCATTCCTCCCGAAACTCCCTCCCTGCAGGGGATTCAACGAGGCAGTGAATGGGTTCACAGACGACGGGTGGGAGCAGATGGCGGGAGACAGCATCTCTTGCCCCCTCTCCCATCTCCCTCTTCTCTCGTCCCTCTTTCCTCCCTGCAGGGGATTCAACGAGGCAGTGAATGGGTTCACAGACGACGGGTGGGAGCAGATGGCGGGAGACAGCATCTCTTGCCCCCTCTCCCATCTCCCTCTTCTCTCGTCCCTCTTTCCTCCCTGCAGGGGATTCAACGAGGCAGTGAATGGGTTCACAGACGACGGGTGGGAGCAGATGGCGGGAGATGGCATGGATGACGTCACCCTTGCTGCCAGAGCCACTGGAGCCGGGGGGAAGGGCGCAGGGGGGATGGGGGGAGGGGGAGATGCGCCTGGGCCTGTGGGCGGGGGAGTTCTGTGCGCCAAGGCTTCCATGCTGCTGCAGGTGGGTGTGTGCTGCTGTTGCTATACTCCCTTTCCTTGTACCCGCATGCCCTCAATCCCTCATGCCCTTCTATCACTCTCCCGTTTGTCCATGCTCACCCCACCTCCATGGTCCTCCTCTTCAGAACGTGGCCCACTCCCAATGCTGCTCCCCATCCCTCGTTCCCACCCTACCTTCCCCCCTCAGAACGTCTCTCCAGTGCTGCTGATCAAGTTTCTGCGTCACCATCGCTCTGAGTGGGCGGACGGCACAGGCACGATCAACCTAACTCAGCTCCCCATTACGTCTCCCTTCTCTCCCTCCCCTACTCTGCCCCTACACCCTTCCCACTCCCTCCTCCCCTTCAGAACGTGTCCCCAGTGCTGCTGATCAAGTTTCTGCGCCACCATCGATCCGAGTGGGCGGACGGCACGATAGACGCGGACTCAGCAGCAGCAGTACAGGCCACCATGGGTGCTCGCGCTGCTGCTGCCGGTGCCGGGAAAGTGCCTCTGCCACTCGCCTATGCTGTTGACCAGGAGGAGGTGCGATCGTGTGTGTGTGTGTGTGTGTGTGTGTGTGTGTGTGTGTGTGTGTGTGTGTGTGTGTGTGAGCACGCGCCCGGACCAAGGCGCGCGGCCCGGACCAAGGCGCGCCGCCCGGAGTTGGTGAAGCTCGAGTCGAGCCTCCCTCTTCCTCCTCTTCCTGCACGCACCCCTCCCCTTCCCCTCCCCGCACACACCCCTCCCTTCCAATCGTCAGTTCCTGGAGTTGGTGAATTTCGAGTCAGCGGCTGCCACGCGGGGGATGGCTCTCACCGTCTCTCCTCTTTTCCCAACCCCCTCTCACACCCCTCCCCTTCCCCGCCGTCCCCCCCCCCCCCCCCCCCCCCCTGGTTCACCCGTCAGTTCCTGGAGTTGGTGAAGCTCGAGCCAGCTGCTGCCACACGGGGGATGGCCGGAGCGAGGGAAACGTTTCTGCTGCAGGTGAGGCCTTTCCTAAAGGTGTTGGTGGGTGGGCGCTGCGGGTGGGGGGGTGCTGCGAGTGGGTGGGTGCTGCGGGTGAGGTAACAGAGTCGTTTTCTCTTTCACTAAACAATTCCATCAGAAACCACCTTTGCCTCTCCTTGCCTGCACCCACTCCCACACCCCTTCCCCCCACACCTGTGCCAGTCTCCTCCTCTCCCCCTTTCCCGCTTTTCAACCGCACTCTCTTTCTCTTCACTGATCCGTTTTGCTTCTCCCTGTTCCCCTCACTCTTCGCCCCACTCCCCGCTTTCCCTACCTACCCTCCCTTCTTGCCGCTCCTCCCTACTCCCCCTCCCTCCTCCCCGCTCCCCTTTGTTCTCCTCTCCCCATCCCCCCTCCCCCCTTCCCTCTCCCTCTCCCTCTCCCTCTCCCTCTCCCTCTCCCCCTCCCCTCTCCCCCTCCCCTCTCCCCCGTTTGCCCCTGTGGTATCGCAGCTCTGCAGTGGCATCGAGGACGACAGCACGTCAGGCTCCACGTCAGCATCATCCGCCACGTCAGCGCCGCCGCATAGCGCGACAGCTCAGCTGGTCTTTGCCCCCGTGGACGCGGCTTCCACGGCTGACACCGTCCCGCTGTTGCCATCTGGCTTCCGAGTCATCCCGCTCGCCCTGCCACCCTCCCAGGTTGGTGTTTCGCTTTCCCTGGTAGACTCATTCTTTGTGTTTCCCAAGGTGCAGGGTCATTTTCTGTCATTCCTGCCCTTCCAGGTTTGTAGAGCCATTTCCGTTCAAATCACCATGTCGCACCCACTATCCACCACCCCAGCTAGTTTTTCACTGCCACCCTCACTCCCATTGTCACCCACGCTGTCACCCTCACGCTCACTCCCCACTCCCACCCCTCTTCCCCTCTCCCCACCCTCACCCCTCCTTTCCCCTTACCTATTCCCCCCACCCCCCCTTGCCCCTCACTCTCACAATCCCCCCCTTCCAACCCCACTCTCCATCACAGGACGGGCAAACGCTAGACCTGGCAGCGTCTCTAGACAAGCAGCAATCACAGCCATCCCAGCAGCAGCAGCAGCTGCAGTCATTGCTCACCATTCCTCCCCGCCCCCTGCCCCCCCCGCCCCATCACAGGACGGGCAAACGCTAGACCTGGCAGCGTCTCTAGACAAGCAGCAGTCACAGCCATCAGCACCAGCAGCAGCAGCAGCAGCAGCGGTCAGTGCTCACCATCGCCTTCCAGTTCGTCTTTGACTGCCCCATTCACTTTTTCCATCCCTCTCCCCCACCATTTCAATCATGGCAGGACGGGCAAACACTAGACCTGGCAGCATCTCTAGACAAGCAATCACAACCATCCCAGCAGCAGCAGCAGCAGCGGTCAGTGCTCACCATCGCCTTCCAGTTCGTCTTTGACTGCCCGGCCGCCAAGGAGGGGGTGGCCCACACAGCTCGGCAGTATGTGCGCTCAGTCGTGGGGGCCATTCAGCGGATCTCCATGAGTCTATCTCCCCCCGCAGCAGCAGCAGCAGCAGCAACAGCAACAGCAGCAGTTGCCGATGCCTCAGCAGCAGCAGCAGCAGCAGCAGCAGATGCAGCAGATGCTGCAGCAACAGCAACAACAGCAGCAGCAGCAGCAACAGATGATGATGATGATGCAGGTAGACGGGCCTCAAGCGCAGATCCAGTCTGCACTCTCACGACTGCCTGGCGCAGCCACATCAGCCTCTAATCCTGCTACCACCTCTGCTGCTGCTGCTGCTTTCACCGGCCTGCCTTCGTCTCTCACCCCCCCTACTGCCACTGCTGCTTCTGCCACGCCTCTAGGCCAACAAACACTGCCTTCCTCGTCAAATTTCTTCAATTTCGGGCAGCTGGGAAATCTCGGCCTGCCCGGGCTTCCAACTGGCGGGCAGGGAGCAACAGGAATGGGGAATCAAGGAGCGGGACCAGGCCTGGGATTGAATTCAAACCCAGCAGCTGCTGCTGCCGCAGCAGGGACGAACAGTGGGGCATTAGGGTTTCCTGGTGCTTCCCTTGCTGGTCTCAACATACCCGGTCTTGGGGGGCTTTATTCCAATACCCCGGATTTGGAGGGTTACAATCCAACAACCCCTCCGGTCTCAACGCGTCTGGTCTAAACACATTGGGATTTCCAGGAGGCTTCCCCCTTGGAATGAATGCAGCCCTGCTTGCAGGACCCTCCTCCTCCTCTGCTGCTGCTACCACAACTGCTGCCGCCGCCGCCACCGCCGCCGCCGCCGCCGCTGCTGGTGGTGCCACGGGTGCTGCTGCGTTTTCTGCTCTGGCATCTGGCCTCGGTATTGGTTCTTTCGGCAACATGAACGGGCAAGGAGTTGGCAGTTTGAATGGGCAAGGAGGCTTGATGGGACAAGGAGTGCTGGGGGGGCTAGGCATGGGAGTGGGGACACTTGATTCTAACCGCTCCCCCCCTGACCCGCTCCCCTCCACTGCTGCTGCTGCGGCTTCCCAAACCGCTGCTGCCGCCGCCGCTGCTGCTAATGCTGCTGCGGCTAATAACGCTGCGGCTGCAGTTGCAGCGGCCGGGAATCTTAGATCTCCTGACGCTCGGCCGCCCGGCATGCCCAACATGGCCCAACGGCATCATCCGTCTGCATCTGGCGCTGCTACAGTCGCTACAGCCTCTGCCGCCCGTTCCCCCAGTGGTGCTGTAGCAGCCCTGGCGGGAGGTGCGGGAGACGTTTCCGGACCTAGCCGCGTGGTTGGGGACGGATCCGGACCTAATCGCTTGGGTGGGGAGGGTTCGGCTGCGTTGGGGGTGATAGGCATGGGAATGGGGATCGGAGGAGGGTTGGGAGAGGGGAAAGGGGGAGGAATGGGGGGAGGGGGAGGGATGGGAGGGGGTGGGGAGAATGGCCGAGGGTTAGGTGATTCTATGGTTCTTGGAGGCCTGGGTTCCCTGGGGAGAGGAGTGGGCGGAGGGTTTGGGGGAGGGGGCGGAGCAGGGGGAGGGGCAGCAGGGGGAGGGGGAGGGGGTGGTGGGGGAGGTAGCATTGGAGGGCCGACTTCGAGTGGTGGTGGTGGCAACGGCGGTGGTGGGGGAGGGGGAGGAGGAGGAGGTTCGCATGCGATGCAACTGGCGAGATGGATCGTGCAGAGCTACAAGTGAGTTTCTTTCATGACTTGTCTCTCTGTCCAGTCAGCCCCTCATGATTTGTGAGAACTGTCAAGAATTACTTAAATATACCTTATCACTTGTGTATCCCTCTGTCTGTGTGCCCGTCTGCCTGCCCTCCTGCCAGCGCGTCCGCCTGTCAATCCCCATCCATCCATCCATCCATCCATCTATCCACCTCCTTCCCACCATCCACACACACCATGGCAGGGTGGCAGTGGGTTGACTTTTGAGTCGACTCAATAGTCACCTCGTTACTATGGCACCCATTTATCCGTCTATCCACCTCCTTTCCCACCATCCACACACACCATGGCAGGGTGGCAGTGGGTTGACTTTTGAGTCGACTCAATAGTCACCTCGTTACTATGGCACCCATTTATCCGTCTATCCACCTCCTTTCCCACCATCCACACACACCATGGCAGGGTGGCAGTGGGTTCCAACCAACCATCCTGTCACCAGCAGCAGGAGAAACCTGTATTTCCATCATTCATCCTCCCATCTCCCCGCAACCCCGCCTCCCTCCCGTCCCCTCTTCCTCACCCCACCATGGCAGGGTGGCAGTGGGGTTAGACCTGTCACCAGCAGCAGGAGCAGTCTGATATGTTTCCCCATCATTCCACCTCATCTCATCCCCATCACCCCTTCCTCTTTTTCCCCCCACCCACCATGGCAGGGTGGCAGTGGGGTCGGACCTGTCACCAGCAGCAGGAGCAGCGTTGGCAGGGGGGGACCTGTCGCGCCTGCTGAGAGTGCTGTGGGAGCACCGAGACGCCATCATCTGCATCGCCTGGCGGGTACGTCTTACCTCCCGCCTTGTCAGATTTCCCAGAGTGAAAAGAACATAAAATACACGAATATGTATTTTGTATCCTTCATGCTCCATGTTGCCCTGCCTACCTCCTTGCTTGCAGTTAGCTCATCCTGCGTTTCCCATCCTGCATTTCCCTTCCCTGCTGTTGCGTACAGGCGTCGCCAGAGCTGCTTCTGGCAAACCAATCAGGGCTGGACATGCTTGCCACGTCAGCAGCTGACCTGTCCAAGGTGCCGTGGGAGAAGACCATGGCTGACGAGGACGCCCGCTGCACTGCTGTCGCTGCCATGTCACAAGCCATACAGCAGGTAAGGTGCCATGTCAGCAGGTGAGGTGCCATGTCAGCTGCCATACCGCGTGTAATTAGGGGCTGGAACGGAGAACATTTCTAGTGTTTTTGTTCCAGAGGCCGTGCAACGTTCAAATTTACAACACTTGCCGTGTCTTTTTTTCTCCACAGGGATTTGCCTACCTTCCTCCAGGTGTTCGGCTCTCTTCACAAGGTCGCTTGGCCGCATATGAAAAAGGGGTGGTGTGGCGGGTCGTCGATGATTACGGCTCCATTCACTGTATAGCATTTATGCATATTAACTGGTGCTTTCTGAGGTAAAGCGCTTACTTCCAATGGCTGATTGCTAATGTGCCTGGTTAGGAAGCTAGCTGCAGTGTACAATGTGTTGTGTTAAATTTGGTGTAAATAGCCTACCAGTATTCTAGGTTTCCCTTTTGAGCAGTGCGCTTCTACGACCGAGAATCCCAACGCTCCATTATCTTTGTATTATAGCGCGGACAAACTCGGTTGTGGAATGCACTCCATTGTCCGCCTTCCCTTCGCCTTCCTCCAGCTTCCCTGCAAGAGCCAAGTCGGAAAAAAGACCATCCATTCATCCATTTCACTTTCATTTCACTCCAGGCCACTCCGTGTTATACCTGTCCCACCGTTGTGTATGCGCGTGTTCCGTCGCTTTCGCTTGTTGCCGACACATCCAGTTACGAACTTAGCTCACGACTCTTTTGTCGTAACCACTTCTATAAAATCGACCTTTTCTTGGCATTTCGGCTCGTGGCGCGTTTGCCTACCCTCTTCGTCTGTTACCCTCTCGCTTGAGCTCGCGAATTAGCTGTTGCGCTTGCATATTCTTATTCAGAACTAAGCTCAGCTATCCTTAAGCGTCAGCCATGGGGAACCAGGAGAAGCTTATGGACCAGATTTTCCAGCTTAAGTTCACGTCGAAGACGCTAGTCCGTCAAGCGAAGAAGTGCGAGAAGGAGGAGAAGGAGCAGAAGCTTAAGGTTAAAAAAGCCATCGAAAAGGGCAACATGGAAGGCGGCAAGATTTACGCGCAAAACGCCATTCGGAAACGCTCCGAGCAGCTGAACTACCTCCGCTTATCCAACCGCTTGGACGCGGTTATCGCTCGCCTGGACACGCAAGCTCGCATGAACACCATCACGCATTCCATGGGAAGCATCGTGAAGGTTCTGGATTCCGCGCTCGCGAGCAGCAATCTGCAGAAGATTTCGGAGACGATGGACGTGTTTGAGCGGCAATTCGTGAACATGGAGGTGCAGTCGCAGTTCGTGGAGAACGCGATGCACAGCAGCACAGCGCTGTCCACGCCGGAGGAGGACGTCAACATGCTCATGCAACAGGTCAGTAAAAAAATAAATCTGTCAGGATTTCAGACAGAATCGGTGCCAGAGTTTGCCGTTTTCTGCTTTTGAGGCGTCTCAACACGAGACACGGGACGTGGACGTCAACACGTTCATGTAGCAAGTCGGTAAAGGTAATGGTTTCCGAGACGATGGCATGGCCGTGTTTGATTGGCAATTCGTGAACATGGAGGTGCAGTCTCAGTTCGTGGAGAACGCGACACACAGCAGCACGCCGCCCACGCCGGAGGAAGACGACATTAGCTCATGCAACAGGTCAGTTGGATCTTACTTTTCCGTCAGGATTTCAGTCAGGTTTTGTGCCAGAGTTTGCCGTTCTCTGCGTCTGAGGCCCCTCAACCCTCAACACGAGACACTGGAGGGGGACATCAACACATTTATGTAACAGGTCAGTATAACTGATGGTTCTGCTTCATCAACTTTACGTATGTAGGCGTCTCAACACAAGATATTGGAGATGGCCATGGTTTATCAACTGTTATTTCTTTCACCTTTCTCGTGCAAAGTCACTTTTGCTGCTGGAGCGGATAAGCTCGTGCTGCCATTAAATTGTTGTTTCTTCACAACAAAATGCCTTTTGGGGCTTCCACTCTTGCACAGTGCTTGGTGTGTCGTCTCTAATAGAGCTTAGTTGCACCTTTGTCATTTGCCAATCCCTTTTATTCTCTCTAAAATATGCCAGGTGGCAGACGAGCATGGTTTGGAGGTGCAGATTGGCCTACCAGGTGCTGCCACGAGTGCTTTGCCATCCAAAGAAGCGCAGACCAATGCTGAGGACGACTTGACAAGGCGATTGGCGGAACTCAAGAACAGGTCGTAGAAGTGTATAGAGCTTAGCAGGAGGGACGTTCATGAGGGGAGAAGTTCTGGTATGGAATGGAAGCTGGTCACAGATGTTTGGGTGCGTGTGCTGGGTATCGACACATTCTTTGCATCCTGTGTCTGCCATTCCTTGTTGCTGCCGACCTGACCAGTCCTTGTCAATGGTAGAAGGTTATGGTATTTCTTTTCCTCCTCCCTCATCTTGTAAATGTGGCTTGCGTCTTCGTTTCTAGTTTGCTTTTCATATGGCAATGGGTTTGAATTTCTGCCTTGGAGATAGGATTCCTTGTGCACAAGGTAATTGTCTCTGGTTTTAGAGGATACGGGTCCGCAGCCTGAATTACAAAAAGTGTTTTGAGGTGTTAACGCTTTCCCTTCCGAACCTGGGTGGTTACCAGTTGTTCAACCAGTAAACCTGAGGAAGTCGCGCGCTACACAGTGAAGGGTCGCAAGGGTCCCTGGCAACGAGTTTGGCGGTGGGTGTTCACACCTAGCAGGAAAATGTGATTCAGGTCGACAGAAATCGGGGAGTTCCTCCCTAGCCTATTATTAGCCTGGCGTTCTGCTTAGATCTGGATTGCGATCCTGGATGTAAGTGGTTGCGGTCACGGTGTACAAACCATCAGTTAACCTCTGCACAAGCGGCCTCGTTATGCGTACATACGGTAGGGTGTCGAGTCGACATCCATTCAGAAATATAGAATTGAGCGTGGATTGGGGAAAATGGGACTGGACAACTGCAAACAGCAACTGAATTGTCAACGGCGTGGAAAACGACAAGCGGCGCCGTGGAAGATTCACGAGGAACGTTCAACCACGCAGCCCAGCCACAATCCCCATCCATTCCGAAAATTGTTTTCTACTGTTATTTTCATGGTTATGTAACCACAAATTTGAAGAGCACCTTTCAAAGTCACCCCGAATTTGTAGAGTTCTTCAAAATTTACAATACTGGTGCTTTACTGTATGAAACTTCTGAACCGCGTTTCCCAAGGATTCGCTTTATGCGTGAAACCTCTTTCATACAGTAAAGGTGAACCTCTGAACCGCGTTTCCACCTTTTACTTGAGACGGTTTTCCTCTGACAGACTCCCATAAGGGCGTCCCTCGAGAGAATATAAAGGGTAGGCATTTCATGATCCAGATATTTAAGAATGTTTCAAGGGCTAACACCCCATCTTTTAATGACTTGGGTCAACTTGGGTTGCGGTGCTCCCTGTTTCAAGGACTTCTTCGCGAACCTCCTGCTCCGGGGGACCCCACATGGCCAGTGGCCACCACCACAAATCCTTCTGCGATCCATGTTCCCATCCACCACCACCCGTTCAGCAGGTTTCTGTGTGCACAGCCCGAAGTGCAGCTTTGGCAGCAAATGGAGGTGAATCCATGATGAGCCGCGCGGCGGCGATGCTGCAGCATGCATTGTCTACATGCACAGTGCGCAGCCTGACAGCGAGTTTTTCGCAAGGGAAATGGGAGATGAAAGGTTTGAGAGAGTTTCTCTACAGTGATTCCACTTCCGAGGTTCTAGAATGTTTTATTTGAGCGGTTCTGTGTGAAAAGAGGCGCGTGCGTCGTCCCCCTCACTTCCATTTTGCTGCTCCATCTCTCACCGCCACGCCAGCCAAACATATCCAGCGGTGTATCTTCTCTCGTACCATCCCTGATTGTTCTCCACTTGGCGGTATCTTCCGCTGCTCAATCACAAGTCCATCATCCCATGATAGCACGTAGAACTGTACCTAGAACTGTCACATCCGCCTCAGCGAAGCTAACAAGTGAAGCATCCCCCTCTGCTTCACTTGAGCCTGACGCAGCTAGCAAACTTGCGTCTTTCTTCTCTCCATTTGACTTGCTTCTGGCTTGCACACACACAGTTGCCAAACTAAGCCTTCCAGTGGCTCTAGTAGAGGTTCAAGCTGGCGAATCTGAGAATCCAAAAGCGGTCCTCATGCTACTAGCTGGCCGGTTATCCTTCGAAAGGAGCGATCGGCTCATGCTACCCACGCAGCAATTTCTAATCGTTTCCCGCAAAACCAAATGAGACGCAGCACAGAGCTGCTCCGTTTCTTTTTTAAGTTTTTCTGTAACGTTTGAAAGTTGGAAACAACTGGAAGTTGCGAAATTTGAAAACTGCAAGCTGGACGCGGTACATGCCTGGAGTCTATCCCGTTGACTGTTTGCCGGCGTAAGGCATTGCCATTTGTAGTCCGAACCGAGGATACTAGCGATCGAGCGAAAGAGACGACACGGACGGCGCGCGAATCGATGAGCGAGCCGCGCTTGGCTTGAGCCGTCTCGCCGGTTAACCTAATTTTTTAACGTTCTTAGTGGTTTATTATCCTTTGAGCTTTCCTAAGCAACGGGATTGATCAGCTGAATTAGGTCATCGGCGGATCGCTGAGCGAATCCACGTTTTCCGAATCTCGAGTGTAGCATTTATAGAAAGTGAGGCCTTACAATCCCAACCTTTCTGCCAAAAACTTCGTAAACCTAAACATTCGAAGTTGACCCCCAGATTGACCGGCATGAGTGTCCCGACCGGTTTCGCGAAGCTTCCCCCTTACGGTACAGCACCAACTGCTTCGGCGGCTGCTGCGGGGGGAACTAAGAGGCGAGCGGAAGATGCGCTGGAGGGGAGCGCAGGCAGCGGCGGCGCAGGCGCAGGCGGAAGCAGAAGCGGCGGAAGTTCCGGTGCGCCGCGGAGGAAGCTCGAATCTTCCGACCCATCCCCTCCGCAATTGCCGCCGCCGAAGACGGCGCCATCGGCGCTGCAGGGGCGTCCGCCGACTCCGCCGACAGTAGCGTCAGCGGCGGCGGCGCTGGTAGCTTTGTCTCCGCCGCCGTCGCTTGCGGCGCAGCAGCAGGCGGCGGCTGCGCAACAACGGGCCGCGGCGCAACAGCAAGCGGCGCAACGGCAGGCGGCGCAACAGCAAGCGGCGGCGCAGCAACGTCAGGCGGCGGGGATGGCGGCGCAGACGCAGCAGCAGCGGCAGCAGCAGCAGCAGCAGCAGCAGGCGGCGGGGGGACTGCACGTGCGCGCGCTGTGGCTGACTGTCAGTCCCACGGAGCGGTACCTGCTGCTGGAAGACCAAGAGACGGGGGATGTGCTCATGCCGCTCATCCACATGCGCGTGAGTCACGCTGCTCCTCTCCTCTTTTCAGGAGACTCACGCTGCGCCCCTCGCCTCGCCCCTCTCTTCGCCTCGCCCCTCTCTTCGCCTCGCCCCTCTCTTCGCCTCGCCCCTCGCCTCGCCCAGCTACAGTCGAAGCTCTTCTCGCTCACGCGCCGTCTCGTCACCATCTGTCCTGCCTTCGCCGCCTCCGCTGTTGATGTCATGCCGCGCTCACTCCTCCCCTCTTGTCGCCCCTCCTCTCTCCTCTCCACTCTCCTCCCCGTCTCCTCCCTTCTCTCCTCCCTCCCCCCTCTCCCCTCCCCGCCCACCTCTCCCCCTTCTCCCCCAATCAGAAAATGTTTGAGGCCAACTACAGTCGCAAGCTCTCCTCGCTGAAGCACCGTCTGGTTACCATCTCGCCCGACCTCGCCGCGTCCGCCGCCGCCGCGTCCGCGCTGCCCTCCCCGCCCGCGCTGCTGCAGGGCTTCCTGTACTGGCGCTGGGCGTTTGAAAGCCCGCACGAGGTGAGGAGTGGGAGGGAGTAGGGAGGGGTGGAGAGCGGTGGGAGGGTGGGGGATGTGGGCGAATGGCTGCTGCAGGGCTTTCTGTACTGGCGATGGGCGTTCGAGAGCCCGCACGAGGTGAGGAGTGGGAGGGAGTAGGGAGGGGTGGAGAGCGGGTGGGGAATTGGGTGCATGGACTGCAGCAGGGCTTCTCGCGTAGACTCAACACCCTCTTTTGTTCCCCTCACCTGTGCTGCTGTTTTGCTCCTGCGCTCCCCTTACCCACCTACAGCGTGCAGGCAGGTGAAGGTGTTGGTGCGAAAGATGCTGGGAGAGGAGAACACCCCGCAGGGCCACCCATCCCAAGGGTCTCCTCTGCTCCCCCTACCTGTGTCCTTTCCACCTGTGCCCTCCCCTGCTCCCTGCGCGTGTGCGTTCCTCAAGCTCCTGTGCGCCCCCCTACCCACCCATGTCGTGCAGGTGGAGGTGTTTTGTTTGCAAGATGCCGTTCAAGTCGACCCAATCGGTCCCTCCTGTGCTCCCCTCAACCACCCATGTCTGCTGCTGTGCTCCTGTGCTCCCCGTCCGTTCCCACCCTTGCCGCACGCGTGCAGGTGAAGGTGTTGGTGCGCAAGATGCTGGGGGAGGAGAACACACCGCAGGGCCACCTGCGCCTCATTCTCGTACCCATCGTATACAACGCCATGGCTCTTAAGGAGAATCTCAGAAAGGTGGGTCTCAATCGCTCCCAACCTCGTTTCACCACTCTCAACCCCGTTCCGCCATCTCAACCTCGTTTCTGGCACTCTCACTCTCATTCTCGTGCCCATCGTGTATAACGCCATGGCTCTTAAAGAGAATCTCAGAAAGGTATATCTCAACCGCTCTCAACCTCGTTCTGCCACTCTCAACCCCATTCTCGTGCCCATCGTTGCATTCCCATGCCCATCGTGGAAAGACTTTCTGATCCCCACCTCGACCTCTCATCTCCTCGTCCCCCCCTCCCTCTCGCCACCTCGCCCCTGCTCCTTTTCTGCTTGCCCCTTCGCCCCCTCCCCAGACGCCTTTCTTTGCGAAGCTAGAGGCGGCTCTGCGCGTGTCCTCCTACTGGCAGCTGCTCAAGCCACAGACCGACGGGGACGCTGCGCCTGCTCCCTCTGCTGCTCCCGCTGCTGCTGCTGCTGCTGCTGCCAGTGCTGCTGCCAGTGGTGCTGCTGCTGGTTCTGATGCGACAGGCTCTGCTGCTGCTGCTGAAAGCTCCAAGGGAGGGGTTGAGGAGAAGACGGGTGGGAAGGGAGAAGAAGAGGGGGGAGGAGGAGGGGGAGAAGGAGGAGGGGGAGGAGGGGGAGGGGATGTGATATTCCCCGGCCCGTTTGATCTCCTGAGGACGGTTGCCAAGTACTGTGTTTCTTACTCCGCAGCTGAGGAGGCTGAGAAGAGGTACGATGGTGCGGTGCAGTGGGGTCAGATGTGGTAGTGTGGGGTGGGGTTGGGTGTGGTGGGGTGGGGTGTGGTGGGGTGGGGTGTGGTGTGGGTGGGGTATGGTGTGGTGTAGTGTGCGTTGATATTGTACCTGCAAACTCGAAACCTGCTTCCCCCACCCGCCCCTCACCTCTTCCGTCCCCCATTTCTCCTGGCAGACCTGAGCAATTCCTTTGCTCCCCACTTTCTCCGCACCCCTTTTCCCTCAAACTTTCCCCTCTCCCCTCTCTGCCCTCCCTTCTTCTTCCCTCCCCCTCTCCCACATGGCAGCAAGCAGCGGTCAACGATGGGTAACACCTCGTTCGCCTCCTCCCCCTTCTTCCTCCCCAGCAGCAGCACCTCCCACGCCGTCCCCCTCGCCTCGCCCCTCTTCCCGGCCTGTGCCGCCGACACCGCTGCAGCCAACGCTGCTGCTGGTGCTGCTGCTGCTGCCGCTGCTGCTGCTGCGGCGAATGCTGCTGCGACTGCTTCTGCTGTTGCTGGTGCTGCCGGTGCTGTTGGTTCTGATTCTGCAGCAGCTGCTGCTGCCGCTGCTGCTGTTGCTGTGAATGCATCTCCTGCTGGGAGTGTAGGTGGGAGGCAGGCGGGTAAAGGGGGAAAGGTGGGTGTGGAGGGAGGGGAGGCTATGTCAGGTGCTGTTGCTTTAACCTCTGCTGCTGCTGCTCCCCCTTCTTCCCCTGCTGCCTCTTCTGCTCCTTCTGTCCCTGACAGTTTTGGGTATAGAGATAAGGGATATGGAGGGGAAAGAGGGGGGATGAGAGGAGGAGAGAGCGGAGGATGGGGAGGGAGTGTGCGTGGAGAGCGAGAGATGCTGAGAGGTCAATCTGGGATCGGATTTGATTCGGGATTGAGTAATGGGATGATTGGGCAGGCGGGGAAGGGAGAGGAGGAGGAAGGGGTGAAGAGTGGGGAGTGGGGAGGAGGCATGGAGTTAAAAGAGAGGAGAAAAGAAGAGCGAGGAAGGGGGATAGGAGGAGGAGGAGAGAGGGCAGGAGGGAGAGAGACAGGGGAAGGATCTGGCTGGGGCGAGGAGGGTCGAGCACGAGGCTCGGGATTAGGTTCGGGAGGCGACTTGGCAGCTCTGCTTCGGGAAATAGTGGAGGTTCGGGAGCAAGGAAAGGCCGTCCAGGCCGACTTTCAGCTGCTGCGCAGGGATTGGCTGGCGCATGCTGCTGACGTCAGGGCCCACGCTGCTGACGTCAGCGAGGAGATGCGGGCTTTAAGGGGGCTGTTGGAGCGAATCCTTGCACTGGTTGAGCCGAGGAGGTGAGTCTCTTTATAAGCCTGCTTCGTTATGCATGTACTACTCATTCCGGTATTGAGCATTTGCTGGAACGTATGATATGTGTATGGCAAACATGTTCTGCATGTGCTGTGATACATATGTTGGGCCCCACTACTTATCCTTTCTCTACTTTCTCCACCACCCTTATTCCTTTCCTTTGTTGCCTCCCCATTGCAGCACTGCTCCAGCAACTGTACCACCAGCACCGTCAGCACCAGCGGCAGCAGAAGCAGCGGCAGAAGCGGCACCAGCAGCAGCCACTCATCGATTCTTCCAGCCAGCCTATCAAAGCCCTCCCCACCGCTCCTTCATCCCTCCTCCACCTGCTTCCCCCTCTCCAAGCACTCACCAACCAAAACACACTTTATCAGCAGCAGCAGGAGGAGCGGAAGATGCAGCCGAGATGAGGCCCCATCCACCACTACCATCTCGCTTCTACCCTCCATGCATCGAACCTGCTGCTGCTTCTGCTGCTGCTGCTTCTCCTGCTGCTGCTGCTTCTCCTGCTGCTGCTGCTTCTGCTGCTGCTGCACCCGCTGCTCTGTTCGGTGTGAGCCTCACTGCTTCCACTCGTGCTTCTATGGCTGCTGCCGGTGCTGCTGATGGCAGTGGGAGTATCAGCGACGCCGCTGCTTATAAAGAAGCAGCTTCTAACGGGGTTGCCGCTGTTGCTGGTGCTTCTTATGATGCAGCAGCCTCTAACGCTTCAGCTGCCTCTAACGCTGCTGCAGCAGTAGGCCGTAGCTTCTCTGCGTTTCCTGCATTTCCCCCTGACCCTGCTGTTCGTCCCACTCCTCTGAGGCTGTTGTGTGGCACTGACGCCGCTAAAGAAAGCACTGCACCTGTTGCTGCCACTGCTGCTTCCGCCGCTGCTGCTGGTGCCACTTCCGAATCGGCGGCTGCCGGTTCTGCTGCTGCTGCTTCTGCTGCAGCGGACCATCCGGGGATGGGCAGTAAGAGCGGCACGGGGATGCAAGTCCAGCCGAGCGATGCGAGGCAAGGCTTCAGAGGCAGTGAGTACTTCAATGCGTTCCGTCAGCCAGCCCGCGGTAATAAAGAGTGTGCTACTAACGAGTGTGAGAGAGCCGCTGGCCGTCAGGCATGCACCGCAGGGGCAGCGGGCAGCAGAGGGGTGTTTGCTGGTGGGATAGGCAGCCAGCAGTGGGAGGCTGGGGATAGGGTGGCAAGTAGGTGTATTGATCTGAGGAAGAGTTTGGGGTCGGGTTTTGAAAGGCCTCAGAATGAAGCTTCGAGGTGGAGTTATGGGAAGGGGAGGGAGGAGAGAGAGGAGAGGGGGGTGGCGGAGAGGAAGCGAGGGGAGGACGGGGGAGCAGATGAGGGAAGAGGGGGGGATTTGGAGGAGCGGTTATGGGGAAGGGGCCAGGAGTTTGAGAGGGGGAGTGGGGGAGTAAGGGACTGGCGTGGGATGGGGGGAAATGGTGGAGGGGTAGTTGGGGAGAGAGAGAGGATGAGGGAGAGGGAGGATGAGTGGGGAAAGGGAACAGAGGAAGGGAGAGGGAGAGACTGGCTGCAGGAGAGGGGTATGAATGAGGAAGGTTTGTCTCGACAGGAGTGGTCGAAAGAGCACGGGCAGCAAGGGCAGAGAAAAGACGGGTTTGGCAAGCAGGGTGAGGATGTTTCCTGGAAGAAGCAGGTTGAGGTGCTACAGCAGCAGCTGATGGCTTATGAGCAACGACACCAGATGATGATGATGCAGCAGCAACAGCAGCAGCAGCAACAACAACAGCAACGAGAGGAACAGCACCAACAACAGCTGCAACAGCATCAGCAACAGCAACAGCAGCATCAGCAGGACCATGTGGACCAGCAGCAACACCAGCACAAGCAGCAACACCAGCACAAGCAGCACGAGCAGAAGAACCAGAATGGGGTAGAATACGACAGTGCAGAGGGAGGGAAAGTGATGCAAGGCAGAGCGTCCTCCCCTTGCTGCTTTCTTCGGTTGTAATAACGGCTAGATTGAGCAGGGCACTTGCAGCCTGTGTTTGTGCATGTCATCTTGCCTGCATGTGTAACGTAGGGATGACCCAAGCCCTGCTTGGTTGATCTACAGGTTGCTATAGTGTTTGTCTTATATTAATATATAATATTATTTGTGTGTCAGTGCATGCAATGTGCCTTGAGCTCGCCTCCATAACTCGTAGGTTTTCTGTTGAATCTCTTGTCACTCTGCACAAGTATATACTTCTATGAACATACAACTAGACAAAGGCAACTTTCCGTAACGGTCAAATTCCAAACAAAATCCTCGTTA